GTCGGGTCTCGGGTCTGATCACCTGTTCCTTGCTGTCTCTGTGTTTGGGTGTTGTGTGTTGTTGTGCGTGGCTTGTTTTGACAGCTCACCATGTGCGCTTTTGTCAGCATGATTGTTTCCCCCGCCCTCCTTGTTTCTCTGCTCGCCTCTTATTTCACACCAGGTTCTTGTTATTCTCATTAGCTTCCCCTTATAGCTCCTCGTGTTTCTCTGTCTTTTGTCAGATTGTTGAGATTTATTCCTTTGCTCTGACTGTCATTGTTGGTATTGCTCACCAGTCCTGTCTTGTCTCGTTCAGGCTCCAGTGCTCGTAGATTCCAATTTATTTTCCCGCACCTCTCTGTGCTTTCAGAAACCCGTGGGCTCCCTCTGGCATCCGCCTTCCCTTGTACAATAAAGCCTCTGTTGAACCCGCACCTGAATCCAGCCTATTTCCTGACAGAGACAAAGAAATGGACCCTGAAAGTGAATATTACAGACGGGATTGATGCTGTGTATCTGTGTGCTGCTAGTTTACACAGTGAATGAATGACAGTAAACTATAAGACAAAAATGTTGGCACCCTGCAATCACACCTGCCTAATCCACAAATAAATGAAGCTAAACAGACAAGTCAGCAGAACAAAGCACTCGCACTAACAGATCATACAGATAATGACGTCGTTGTACTCCTCCCTCCCCAAAAACAGCTTCACATGAGACCTTTTTGATAGTCAGTAGGGGGAGATGCACATTGCTTATTTTAATGTAGAGGATTCCTCTTTCATCTTCAGTAACATTATTTTTTGAGAGTGTTTCTAACCCTGTTATATAAGAATGTTTAGACCTGCATATGGACTGTGTATTTATTTCTTCCTGTATATAGGTAAGATGTTTTGTGATGCCAATATGATTAATAATTAATATTTTTTTTGGTATTGTTCTTTGCTGAAATCAAATATCTGTCAAAACCTGCCTTTTTTTTCACAGGGAAGGTGACATGTGTGACCGTTCAACAGAACCCCAAACACATATTAGCCAAAAAGAACAATATGGTGGAGATAAAGTGTAGTCATGATGATAGTAACATGCTAAACATGTTATGGTATCAGCAAAAGGATACAGCCATGGTCTTGATCGTGTTCAGTTACGGTGCTACAGGTGACCCCAACTATGAGGATGAATTTAAAGACCGGTTTAAATTGGAAAGAACAGAAACACTGAATGGAGCTCTGAAAATCTCTGATCTCAGTCAATCAGACTCTGCTGTTTATTACTGTGCTGTCAGTATGCACAGTGCTGTAATCTTTATTACCTGCCTGACTAAAAACCAAACCACCAGACAAACAGGAAATACACACAAAAACACTCCAACATCTCTAAGATTCAACTTTATCAAAAGTATTTTTAATCAAAAGTCTTGTTCCAGAGTTTAATTTCTACATAAAAAAAATTCTCTCAGCGTTTAATCGAAGACACAATTGGAAGATATAAGATTTACTCCACAATGATACAATACAAAATACAATACCAGAAAGCTAGTAACAATAGTTAAATCTGATAAAACATATCAGTAAAAATTGCTGAGCAAATCAGAATCAAGAGTGCTTCTTGTTGGACTTGTGCCACAGATAATCACAGGCTTGTCACATTTTTAGAAAAACACTATAATTGCAAATGTGATATTGCTTTTATACAACAATTATTATTGAGTAGCCAATCTTACATTTATAAAACGTTAACAACCTGGTCTCGTGACGAAAACATACCTCTGAGAACTTTTTTGAAAAATGCGAAATATTTACCAATAAGTATATATCACTGCAGTTTCCAACAGAAATGAACACTAGAGGCGGTAAAACAGCGAGCACTTGCAATCATTTTCATACAGTTATGATTACAGCTCCATATGTTTTGCTTTCTAGATGTAACAAGGCTTGCTCGGTAGCTCAGCCGACACGGAATTGGATTTAGGATGTGGAATCCTTGGTACGAATTCCGCCAAAAACATGATTCACGATGAAAGAGCTGAAAGATGAGAGATCAAAAAACAAGCTAAAATGGCATACTTGCAATTGTGTTTTTACGTCACATTCGCTTTTGTTCATACTATTGGGTAGGTTTAGATGTAGTACAGATGGTACATTATTTTAAAAACGTCATGGAGCATCATTAGAGTTATAGCGCCACTCACATACAAAACCAACGTCACATAAAACGTACAACATGGACGTTCTTCTGTTTCCGGGAAAAAAACAAAAACTCTTTTAGCGCCACTCAGTGGACATTTCACATCGAATATGTCACGAATCGTACATGGCGGTACGTATTTCGCGTCTTGCGAAAACGTTCCCACAGGTGCGTTTTCGTCATGAGATCAGGCTCAATGTTAATGGCCAATTTATTTATTTATGCTCTGTTGAGTTGAGTTTGAATTGAATCAAATCAAATCAATTGAGTGAATGCTTCAGTGATTCACTCATGAAGACAGTAGCTGAACTTGGAATAGCATAATACTCTTACTATTTGTGCCATATAAATATACGAAGACAGTAAGTGATCACACTGCAATTTAATATGGTTGTATGGAAAACATCATAATTGAATTTTTGATAATAACTTAATTGAAATTTTCACTGTAATATTTACTACAAATCAGGGGCTGTTTTCTGCAATCCTTCAGAGAAATACGCAGATTCCCTATAGCGTGCAAAAGACATTTTCACAAAATGCTCACATTTAAATTAATATATTATACACATCTCTTTGTTTGTGCTGTGTTGACAAATTTATGTTTTGTAAAAGTTACATATTTTGTCTTCAAAATGGTGAAAGACCAAAAGGTAGTCACAGACTGTGATGATACATTCATGCAGTATTTATGACAATTTTTTAATGTAAAAAAGGAGTGTTTCTGCCACTGAGGGAGTGACTATAAATGTAACTTCTTTTTCTCTTCTGATTGTGGTAATCCATATTATATCCATATTGTAGGATAAGGGTAAGATGATAGAAAATACAGTTTGTACAGCATAAAAACCATTACGTCTATTGAATGTCCCCATAAAACATGGAAACCAGTGTGTGTGTGTGTGTATGTGTGTGTGTGTGTGTTATTTTTATTCTTATAACAATATTAGATTTGCAATATTCATGTCATATGTCAAACTCCACTAGTATTCATTTTAAATCATGTGCTGCTTTTGTGATGGGCTGAGCACCTGTCTTCAGATCATTTGAAATCAGTCACTTAAAATTAGGCAGCTGCATATAGGCAAGAGGGATTGGATCAGAACAAATGTCATCTTTTTTTTTTTTTCACCAATGACTAAGCTGCAAAGGGGTGTGTTCTAAACAAAGAACCATTATTTTTTTGTCTTTAACACTTAACATCAGATAATATTTCACAAAAGCGACTCTAAATTGACTCCTTTCTTCTACTCTCCACCTTGCTTTGTATTAAAGGTATTAAAGTTTCACTTGGAAAAAGAACTGACAGTGATGCTCATGGTTTTGACCATTTATAATAGACCACGTAACCTGTTTTTGTTTTTATCTTTGTATTTTTAGCAGATTTCAGTGATGGTGTTCTGATCACCTGAAGTACATATCCAGTCTTCCAGGCTCTTCAGTTGAAATGCACTGTTACCAGAATGATACAAACTATGACTACAAATATTGGTACAGACAAATAACAGGAGAACAACCAGTGCTTATTGGGAGCTACATTGTTAACTCTGGCTCGAATGAGAAGGAGTTTGAGACCGGCTTCATAATGTCAGGTACAGAGAAAAAGAAATGGACCCTGAAAGTAGATGTTAAGGAGGGGATTGATGCTGTGTATCTGTGTGCTGCTAGTTTACACTGAATAAATGGCATTCAATTATACAACAAAAACTCTTTGGATGGCAACCTGCAATCACACCTGCCTCAACCACAAATAAATGAACCCATCTGTACAAACAAGTCAGTAGAACAAGAGAACTTGCGCAAACAGATTTCATTAATGACAAGTATAAACTCCTCCCTTCCACCAAAAACACCTTTGCATCAAGATCTCGTTGATATTGTACAGTCAGTAGGGGGAGATACGACTATTTATTTAATCAAGTTTTTTCTCTCATTTCTTTAGCACAGTGTCATACACTCTCTCTTGTCACATTATTTTAGAGTTTTTGTACACTGTTTTAGAAGGATGTTTGAAGGTGCATTTGGACTCTGCATATTTTTCTTATTGTACATAGGTAAGATGCCCTTCAGTTATTACTCTTTATCATGTTTGTTATTGTCATTTCCTTTGAAACAGAATATCTCTCAAAGCCTATTTTTATTTATTTATTTTTGTTCACAGGGATGGGGAGATGTGTGAACGTTCAACAAAACCTGACTCCCTTATTATTTAACAAGAATGATATGGCAGAGATAACGTGTATATATGATGACAGTGGCAAGCCAAACATGTTATGGTATCAGCAGAAGGATACAGCCATGGCCTTAATCGTGTTAAGTTATGGTGCTGGAAGTGACCATATCTATGAGGATGGATTTAAAGGCCGGTTTGAACTGAAAAGAACAGAAACACTGAATGGAGCTCTGAAAATCTCTGATCTCAGTCAATCAGACTCTGCTGTTTATTACTGTGCTGTCAGTATGCACAGTGCTGTAGTCTTTATTGCCTGCCTGACTAAAAACCAAACCACCAGGCATACAGGAAATACACAAAAAGGCAGTCTAACGTTCAGTTGTGACAGTAATGAAAAGACTTGTTGCAGCATTTAATTTCTACATGGAAAAAAAAACAATGTGTACGTCCTATCAGTGTTTAATAGAAAACACAATCAGATATAAGCTTTGCTCCAAAACTGAGTACAGGACCTACCCAGACAGCCTTTTAAAGCATCATGTTTGCTGGCCAACTTAACGTATCCTTCACAGATAATGTAATACCAGAATGCATTGCAACAATATCTGTGAAACATCCAAGATGTGGATGGAGTAAAGAGAAATGTTGCCAGTAAATACTTATATTTGATGCAACATATCAATACATTAAGCAATATATCACCCTAGCAAGAGAGTTCTTGCAGCCTACTATAGGTAATCATATACAGCAGGTAATATACGTAAACTAACATTTTAGAATGTTGATGACTACTTTTTGTTTGTTTGTTTTGTTTATACTCCATCAACAAAAATAGCTCAATTCATATCCACAGTGAAATATTCTGTTGTGCTGTGCATCTCCAAGCAACACACAGTAGTGGCGTTCTGAATGAACAAATTGGTTGAGTGAATGATTCACTGATTCACTGATTCACTCATAAAGGCGTATGGAAATTGGGCCCATATTTAAAGGTGTGCTATTTTCAATCACATTACAATATTCACTTAAAACATGCTGATTTTAAGTACTACTAGTATCCGTTGTGAATCATGCACTGTTTTTGCTGTGAGCCGAGTTGCTGTCTTTATTTGAAATCAATCTCTTAAAAGAAGGCAGTTGCTTATGTAGGCAAGAGCTTTTGGAACAGATCAAAAGTACCCTCTTTTTTTCCACCAATGACTAAGCAACAAAGGGGTGTGGCTTCATAATATATGAAGTACTATTTTTATTTTTTTTATTTTTTATTAACTGAACATCAGAGAACATTTCACAAAAAGCAACTCTAAATGGACTCATTTCTTCTCCTATTCACATTGCTTTGTCTAAAAGGTATTAAATTTGAACTTGAAATAAGAACTGACAGTGATCATCATGGTTTAGAATAAATGTACTGTAGATTTCTAAAGAAAAACATATCCTGTTCATTACTATATCTTTGTATTTCCAGCAGATTTCAGTGACGGTGTTCTGATCACTCAATGGCCGAAGCACATATCCAGGCTTCCAGGCTCTTCAGTTGAAATGCACTGTTACCAGAATGATACACACTATGACTACAAATACTGGTACAGACAAATAAAAGGAGAGCTAGTGCTTGTTGGGAGCTACATTGTTAACTCTGGCTCGACTGAGAAGGATTTTGAAAGCGGCTTTACAGTGTCAAGTACAGAGAAGAAGAAATGGACCCTGAAAGTGAATATTACGGACGGGATTGATGCTGTGTATCTGTGTGCTGCTAGTTTACACAGTGAATAAACGCTAATAAATTGTATAACAAAAACCCTTTGGATGGCAACCTGCAATCACACCTGCCTCAACCACAAATAAATAAACCCATATCTTTACAGACAAGTCAGCAGAACCTTACAACTCGCAATTACAACTGCATTAATCATGTTACACACCTCCCTTCCACCAAAAACACTTTCACACAAACGTCTCGTTGATGTGATACAGTCAGTAGGGGGAGATGTGACTGTCTAAGACTGACATTTAAATTGATTTATGGTGAAAAATGGTGAAATGTACCCAAAAGTGATGACTTTGTGTCTGTTAATAATGATTATGTTAGTAATGATTTGTACTTTGTAAAATTTGTAATTTGTAATAGTGAAAAAAAATAAAAAATTAGACATGGTTTCCCCATTTACCTGTATGTAAGTTTACCATGCTATAGTATACAACCACATTTACAACAAATGAAAAGGGTCCAGATTTATCTGTGTGTTGTTTTTATTCTCACTACAGTATTAGCTTTGCAACTTTTGTGCCTAATAAGACACCTAATTTTGGCCAAATTATAAGATTGCATGTGTCCTTCAATGATACTGCAATCCCAAAATGTATTACAACAAGCTCAGAAACATCCAAGATGGCAGATGGAGTTGAGAAAATTGTTGACAATGAATGCTTACATTTAAAACAACACCAAAACATGTTGATAAAAACAGTTAAGCAACATCATAAAAAATAGAGTTCTCCTGCTGCCTTGTGCCGCAGGTAATCACAATCATATTGATTTTTTATTTTTTTTGTAAAACAACAAATTGTGAATGCAATATTGCTGTTATACAACAGTCCAACTGAACATGAAGTTAATACTGAGTAACATTAGACAAGGTTTTTACTCTTCCAATGAAAAAAGCTACAAGTCACATTAAGCTACAGCAAAATGTGCCATAGTGACCAACAAACATAGTGCCAATCCTGAATGAAACAATCAGTTGAGTGAATGATTCAGTGATTCCCTTACATTGTTAAAATAACACACTACTCTTATTATTTCTGTTATGCAAAATATAAGAGAAATAGAAAGCATAGTATGCTGCTACTGGTTTAAATTCAACCAGTCACTTGTTTCTGGATGAATCAGCATACAAATATGTTAAATTAACTGCAAATAGGTTTAATGAATGATTCCATGACTCATTCATAAAGAATTGTTCCACTTGACCCCATATCAGTGTAACTGCTCTCTTCTTTATTTCTGCTAGAAAGTTGTAGAATTGTAATATTTGTTACCTTTGTGTTCTAAATACCATAAATCTGAATATTTGTGTGTACTATGTATAATTTATTCTCATTCCAGTAGTAGAGCATTTGAAATCAGTCACTTAAAAGATTCTTGATAAGATATTCACTCAGAAGGCAGCTGCCTACATAGGCAAGAGGTTTTGTAACAGAAGAATAGTGTGACCTTTTTTCCACCAATGATTAAGGAACATAGGGCGGTGGCTTATGGAAATAACAACTAGTTTGTGTAGTTTGTCTTTGTGTAATCAACTGAACATAAGAAAATACTTCACAAAAAGCAAGTCTAAATGGACTCCTTTCTTCTCCTGTTCACATTGCTTTATCTAAAAGGTATTATTTTAACTTTGAAAAACTGGCAGTGATTCCATTTTCTTCATGTTGACCAAATGTAGATTTCTGATAGACGGCATAACCTGTTTTTGTTTTTGTATTTCCAGCAGATTTCAGTGATGGTGTTCTGATCACTCAGTGGCCAAATTACATATCCAGTCTTCCAGGCTCTTCAGTTGAAATGCACTGTTACCAGAATGATACAGACTATGACTACAAATACTGGTACAGACAAATAAAAGGTGAAGGACCAGTGCTTATTGGGAGCTACAATTTTAACTCTCCCTCTAATGAGAAGGGTTTTGAGACCGGCTTCACAATGTCAGGTACAGAGACAAAGAAATGGACCCTGACGGTTGATGTTAAGGAGGGAATTGATGCTGTGTATCTGTGTGCTGCTAGTTTTACACAGTGAATGAACGACAATAAATTATACAACAAAAACTCTTTGGATGACAACCTGCAATCACACCTGCCTCAACCACAAATAAATGAACCCATATCTGTACAAACAAGTCAGTGGAACAAGAGAACTTGCACATGCAAATTTCATTATTGATTTTTTGCTCCTCCCTTCTACAACCCCCCCCCCAAAAAAAAGAGAGAGAAACAAAAAAACTTTGTATCAACGTCTCATTCATGTGATACAGTCAGTAGGGGAAGATGTGACTATTTTAATGTACAGGTTTTCCTCTCTCTGTTTCTCTCTCGTCACATTATTTTTTGCTGTGTGGATGACCTGAGCTTTCATAGCCCTTAGAAGGATGTTTAGAGCTGCATATGAACTGCATATTTTTCTTCTTTTACATGGGTAAAAATTCATTTGAGATAGCAATATGATTTTTTAATCATTACTTAATAGATGTTTTTCCAATTGAAGTGGAATTTTTCTTAAAGCCTGACTATTTTCACAGGGAAGGCAAAATGTGTGCATGTTCAGCAGAAAGTGACATCTTTATTGGCAAACCAAAATGATACAACAGAGATTAAATGCTCTCATGATGACAGTAGCATGTTAAATATGCTATGGTATCAGCAAAAAGATACAGCCATGGTTCTAAGCGGTTACACTTATAGTATGGGTGAGCCCAGTTATGAGGATGGATTTAAAGGTCGGTTTGAACTGAAAAGAAAAGACACACTGAATGGAGCTCTGGAAATCCCTGATCTCAGTCTGTCAGACTCTGCTGTTTATTACTGTGCTGACAGTATGCACAGTGCCACAGATTAAAATGACTGATTAACTAAAACTCAGTGGTATATGGCTTTCATATCTCTGCTTTGATAATCTAATATTCTTTAAAATAGTGTTTTTTCTCAGCGTTTTGACTTGAAGGCTCCTGGTTGACCAACAGAATATTTGAATATTGACATGAGATATAAATAATATGACAAATAAAAATAAAACCAGACAATCTCTGTTCCTCTCTCAGCTCACTGTGCTTGATAAGTATGTTTTCTTTAGTCATAAGCAAAAATTTTACTTAATGTAGGTCAATATACTTCTTGCATCTTAAGCTTTTTTTCAGATTAATTTCACCATAAACAAAAGCTAATTTAGCTATAAAATGAAAGTAGAACTTTCACTTAAGATGAAACTTAAAGTTTATGTTTAATTAAGTTTACTTGATATAAATGAAGACAAATGACCTTAATGCTTATTGTGATGTCTTTTTACAATATACATCAAATGTAAAAAAAAAAAAAAAAAAAAACACCAACATACTCTAGATTATTTAATTTAGTGCATTAGTGCAAAGATAATTTTACATTTTTCAGTGTTCAAGTATGGCAGACCAGAAAAAAAAATAAAA